TAATTGTAGTATAATATACCCCAAATCCTATTCTAATTATTAAGGCCCCTATATTAGGGACAGTTGGGTTCGGACGTTGTCTCCTCTCTTTTTCTGGACGTCAGGAGCCATGGTTCTTAGCACACTTCTTTTGCACTGTCCTCCCAGCTGGACTGTGCAAATTCAGGCCCTTCCGCCCGATTTGTGCCTGATGCCTGTGGCTTTTTGTTTTTTTTTGTGAGTTTCAGTGGAGCTTCTCATGCCCATCAAATCATATCAAATCCCTTGTTGGGTGGGGGCCAATAGAGCAGCTTGCCGACTCTGGCCCCCCCAACTGTCCCTAATATAGGGGCCTTAATAATTAGAATGGGATTTGGGGTATATTATACTACAATTATAATAAGGAACCCCCAAAACCCTATTCTAGTTATTCAGCCCCCTACATTAGCCCCATAAGGTCCGTCCCAACTGATGTCTGTGACAGACCTGCTCCTGGCCGGGCTCATGGGGTTCTTAAACTTGTCTCAGACCCGTCAGACCCCAAGGCTTAGGGCTTAGGGTTCAGGTCCTATAAGGCCCAAGGATCAAGCGCGAGGCTTCAGCCCCTCTCAGTTTCCGTGCAGGCTGTGCTGCAGCGGTATGGGGCCTGGAATTCTACAGAGCTGACAAGGACGATCAGATTCCGGGCCCAGAGATCTTCAAAGCTTGTCAGTTGGGCTTGGGTCCTGTGTTTTGCCGGAATGCGCTTTCTTGTCCAGGAGTTGATCTTTTATCTGACTTTTTGAAGCCAGACATCTAAAGCTACCCGCCATCTAAGTCGTGAAAAGTCCACTGGAACTTAACACCTTCATGCCGCAAGTATCCCTCAAACCCAAACAGTAAGATTGAAACGCCATCAGGATCCCTTTCAAGTTATTCCAGCAGCAGCATCTGCCGGGTGGTCTGCAGAAAGCTCTCTCCAGGAACCTCTTGCCTAATGGGCCGAATCTATCGTGTTTTGCCAGAGGTGACTCATCAGCTCGGAGCAGCCTGCTCCGAGCAACTTCAACGCACGAAGCCAGATGGCAGACCCTATGTAACATGTCGCCGTGAGGCGACTTCTTCTTCAAATCCCCAGGGCTAGCCTCGAGCACCTGACACCATAAAGCCCCACTTCAAATCAGTTCGGTTCAAGCCGTGGGAGTTGTCTCGCCGCTCGGACGCTCTGTCAGCATAGCTCATCCTCGCGACTAATGGCGTGGGTCGTGAAGAGCAAGTTCACTTTCATCGAGGTGGCAGAGCGCACGCCTTTGCCGACCCGCCCGAGAAGCGTTCCACCGAGATTGAAGGTCGAAGTTGAGAGCACCCAGGACAGGTACCTCGCAGAGGTGTTGGGGCACGCAGCAAATTTGCAACCATTGCCAGCAGTTCCAGCTACGACGCAACCTTCTCCACCGCCCGCTGCCGAAGTGACCGAGACAGCAGTTCCAGAACCAATTGCTGCTGAACATATTCCCGGCAGCCTAGGTCATCCAGAATTTTGCCGCAGGCCTTGCGTACTCTTCGCGCGTGGGAACTGTCAAGCTGGTTGGGATTGTCTCTACTGCCATCATGCAGAGCATCGCGACACGTTTCGCCCGACCAAGCGTCTTCGGGAGAAATTGGATCGATTGACCGTTCCAAGCAAGTTGCTCCTCTTGCGCAATTGCTTAGAGGTCAAAGCGGCCACAATGCCGCACGAGCTTCCTTCTATTCAAGCTCTGCGCAACGTGATTGAAGACGCGTGGGCCAATGCAGACCAGCAGGCAGCCGCGGATGTGCGCTCCCTCCAGACACAGCTGTCCGCTCTGCCTATTAGTGTCTTGCTCGGCAACCAGGTGATCGGTAGCTTTAGTCCCGAGCTTTACAACTCCATTCAGGAGCAGCTTTATTTGCTCAAGTGGGCCAGGACAGCGCCTTTGTGAGTTGCCGCGGCAACCAACATCAACTCGAAGCAACCACTCTTTTTTCATTCCCGTCTTAGTGTACTGGTGGATGTTCAGGGACTTTCCTTGCAGGAATGGATCTGATTCTGATTTATCTGATGCCGCCGAGAAGCAGCAGCTTTCAAGAGTTTGCTCTCGGAGCAGGGGTGTTTAAGCACAAAAATCGATCCGGGCAGGAGATTTTTCTCCTGGAACGGTTTGCTCTCCAGGCAGGGGTGGCAAGGTCTCTGTTCCCCTTTAATGGCCCTTTAGTGCTTTGACACGACGCTTGCCGACACAGGTACAAGAGATTGAGTCTAGGCTTTGACGGTTTGGGAGTTGCATTCCGAATAGCGACCTCGCCGACGTTCTGGGTCTTTCGGCACTCGCAGCGGGAATGATTGTGATCCTTGTCGGCATATATACTTGCATGTTGCGATGCCGGGATACCTGTGGAGATGTTAGCCGCCATCAGCCCAAAAAATGAAGTGTTGTGCGAACCGACGTGAAGATCTTCCCAACTGCAGTGGCCCATTTACGGAGCTGAGCCCCTTCGACACCTTCCGAAGCCGTACAGGGCCTGCCTAAGCCTGGCGGCTTGTGGTTGAAGCCTGCTCGACAAGGATTCGCTTGCAGGGTCTGAGAGGTGTTCACGAAGCATGACGTTGCAGAATCAAACTATACCGCAGAAGTCAATGTCAAGCAGGTCTCACATCATGGTGTCTTGCTCAGTTTTGAAGCACATGCTGCTCACTTTTCTGCAGAAGCGGTCCGCGCAGGGGCGAGAACGGGGTGGACGGAAGATGATAGGTTCTTGGAGCCTCAGCCGCGAGCGCCGAGACCCGGTTCGCAGAAGGAAAGTGCACAAATTGCACGTTGAGTTTTTGTATCAAGATTGTGTCAAGATTCGCTGGCGAATTATCGAAGTTGTGAGCATCGCCTCTACCCAGCCGTGAGCCCTACGCCTTCAAAATCCCTCTGTCAAGAGTAAGTTCTGCCTGAGGCAGGGACATGAGCAAGCTGCAGAAGCCAATGGCAAACTAAAGTTTCATACCCTGCCATCTGTGAAGATGCTCTCAACCTTGGTAGTATTCACGTTTTTGAAGCGCATGCCGCTCACTTTTCTGCAGAAGCGGTCTGCGCAGTGGCGAGAACGGGGTGGACGGAAGATGATAGGTTCTTGGAGCCTCAGCCGCGAGCGCCGAGACCCGGTTCGCAGAAGGAAAGTGCACGGTGATCTGTTCGCTGGCAACTTATCGAAGTTGCGAGTACCACCACTACCCAGCAGTAAGCCCGATGCCTTCCGTCGAAAATCATTTCTAAGGAAGGGACAAATGTGCATAATCAAGCGCAGAAGCCAATATCAAACTCAAGTCGCATACCATGCTATCTGTGATGATGCTTAGGCCCGGCTTGAGAAGTGGGACACCTCTAGACCTTTTGGGCCTTCCCGAGATTTCTGAACTCTGCATCGCACTGCCCAGTACCAGCTGAAGGAACTGCAAGCCGTGCAAGCTGGGGCTTCAGGGTTTGGGGTTTAGGGAGGGCTGGTTGCAAAGGATTTGGTGGTCTTCTCGAAGAGCCTGCGTAACTACCAATTCTGTAGCAGTCAGGGTCAACATCAAAGCTCATGCCATGCCATCTGTGGTGGTGCCAGCAACTTTAAGCGCGCTCACCTTTCTGCAGCAGAGGTCCCTTCATGAGCGTGGAAACTCTGTCCCTTGATGGTGTTCGACAGAGAAAGCGCAGACCTAGCTTGCAGAAGGACAGTGCGACCTGCTTTATTAATAAACCGAAGACTGCCTTACCTGCTTTATGAGTCAGACTCGCTTGCGAGTTTGCCGAAGGAAGGTGACTGCCACATATTGGCAAGTCACTTCGTGCATTTTCCTGTACAAGCGACAGAGATTGCAGAAGTTGGTCCACGTGACGTGGCAGTCTGACCGGTGAACACAGTTGGGCGTAGCCTCTCCCCACTTTGGGCAGTCTTTGTCTTGGCTGAGGCATTGTCGCATTGTCTTTGCCAGGCAATTTTCAAGTTGACGAAGTTGTTGATGATGATGATGATGCTGATGAGGTGTCAATGCTAGGAGTACAGGCACTGTAAATATGAACTCATGAAACGAACCATGGTGAAGTACTGGGTGCAACAATGGGAAGCTCTGAGCACATAGTGTAGAAGCAGGTGTCCAGTCTGGCAGCCCTGTCTACATGCCAAGCCCGTTGCGGATGCACATGTAGCCCCGAAACTTAAGCACTAACGGCCTAAACCCTAAACCTTCCCAATAAACCCGATGCGTAGTTTCCCGGATCCACTAAACCTGAAACCCTAAGCCCCTAAACCCCAAAACCCTAAACCCCAAACCCTGAACCCTAAACCCCAAACCCTAAAGCCTAAACCCCAAACCCCTTAAAGCGCAAAGCTTTGCAGCCAAGCCTTCGAAGGAGAGACAAGGATCGGTCCTTTCACTTCTCGCTGCGTGATGCTCGCGAGGTGGTGTTGGGCTTTAGGGTTTAGGGTTTAGGGTGTAGGGTTTTTCGGGTTTACTGAGTTTCGGGCTTAGGGTTTAGGGTTTAGGGATTAGTGTTCAGGTCTTTGGAGGTGTAACCATTTTCGGTTTGGGCGGCTTGCATCGGGTCAACTGTCTCTTGGGGTTGTAGGGTTTTTTTAGGCTTACATGGTTTGTAGGGTACAATGCTACTTGCTAAACCCCAAACTCGAAGTGCACGCCTTGATCTTCAGGCGGGCTTTCAGAACCTTTGTTGTTCGCCCATGGGTCTTGTGGGTGTATGTTGTTCAAGTTACCACCTGAGCAGCTTGCTGCTTCAACCTTTGACCACAACCCTGACATCGAGTTCTGAGACCCTAAACCCTAAACTCCTAAACCCTAAACCCCAACCAGCACCTACTTCCTCTGGCGTCGAGGCTTTGCCAGAGTGTTAAAGTTGAACAGTTGGATATGTGCCGATATGTGCCCAAATAATCGGCTGCACTGAGACTTGAGACATCACGTGGGATTCAGTAGGGCTGGAATCTTAGGTCGTTGCTGAGGCTCGTCCTAGATGTCATGCGAAGTTTCCACGACAATTGGGATCTTCACAACTGGTGCCGTTCTGTGTTTGTAGTATCAGGGGTTTCTTGATGTTTCTGCCTCTGTTCCAACAAGTTGTGTCAGTCCCAACAATGCAGATTTAATACAGCCCCAGCAGCGTTCCCTTCCACTTCCACAGCTTTCATTCAACAGAAGCACGATAATTCCTCTGCACGGCAGGGACGCTGGAGAGAATGCCACCCTCTGGCACAAACAGATGCGACAGCAGAAGATCCTGATCACGATTGGGAGTCCAACTGCTACCAGGCATCGGGGCTTCCAGGGTTTTCGTCTTAGCTTGTCCTGTTGACTCCCAATACTTATATAGTGTAAGCGCTTCCAGAACCCGTTCCAACTGCTAGGGCCCTATGTTGTCTAGAAGGGCGGGCTGTCGCAGGCATGGCTTGGGATCATCACTTCTCCAGAAGCGAAGTATCAGAACTGCAGAAAGGGTCCTGTCATGCCAGGCCACCACTCACACGATCTACCTGGATGATACGCTACAGTGGACCTTCGGCCGAAACAGTTGTCAGCATCGGTACCTTCACTGCTAAACCGGTCAAAAAACGCACGCCTCTCTGGTTCGTGGGACCACCAGATTGGACTGCAGTTCGGTCTAGAACTCGAAGTCGCCGACTATTCCAGACACTTCAACCTGCACCTCTGAGGCTCGTGGTGGTTTCCACACCTGCAGCTGTCCGAAGCCGAGTCTGAAATGCTTCTTCCACTCTCGTTGCAAGACTTGCCTGGACAACCCCTCCAGTTCGAGCGTGCGACGAAGCATGACTGTAAATGCATAGGTGGCAGAACACAGAAGCAAATATCCCATCCCACGGCAACCTGCCATTCCTGCCCGGAGTGCCCCTCCCCCCCAGCCTCCACCCAACCCAAGAATTCCGCACCACAGCCACCCAAAACTGCCTAGGCCCAAGACCCAAGACTCCTCTAAAAGCTCTAGACATACTGTTGATGATATAAATCCTGGATTACCCTAAGGACCCTAAACTACGGGAATTATGGTATATTCCTTATTATGAGTAATGCAGGATTTAGATCATCAACCGTATGTACGAACCCATCTGGAAGACGAGGCCTTCAGCAAGTTCCACGTGGACAAAGCCCGGGGCTTGCGACCCCAAGCTGGGCACGCTACGTCGAGGGTTAGCTTGTTGTCCAGGTCTGAAAGACCGGCTTTCAGCTGTTACCCATCGGCCCCTAACTAGTTCCTTTTTGGGATTACCTTACAGGATTCTAAAAGTATAAACCCTGAAAAGGAACTACTTAGGGGCCTATGGGTAATACTAACACCCCAAGGCTCCCTTGCGGTCGGCTGTGGCACAAAGGTATTCGGAATGCTGACATTTCTGCCCCCCGGAGGTCTCCAAGGCTCTAAATCCGGTGGAGATCCCAGGGCCTGTAATACAGGGGCCTTAATAAGTAGAATAGGATTTGGGGTATATCATACTATACTTATAATAAGGAACCCCCAAAACCCTATTCTAATTATCGTATATTATACTATAATTATAAAAAGGCACCCCCAAAACCCTATTCTAATTATTTAGGCCCCTATAGTATCCCTTACTCCTGAGATGCCCCAGGCCTTAGTCAGCGCAGCCACCGCACAAGGCCGCAAAAACGGAACGGAGCCCTGAACACCGGCCCCCACTGCCCCTTCCCTGCGCTTTTGGCGCCGTCATTCTATTCATTGAGGCCAACCATGGCCCCCTTCGCAACCTTGCAATTCTCAAGTGCTGTGCAGACATATCTGCGTTGTGTTAGTAGCAGTCCTGAAAATAACACCCTAATGGTCAGAAACCCACCAATCTTGGCGCACTTCCCAGAGAGTTTAAACTCACAAATCAAACTCAATTCCCAGAGAGTGACTGTCGCCAAGGCGATCCAAGT